GGTTGTGCTTCGATAAGATGTTTAATAGTTCTCCCAATTTTCTTTGCTTTAAGTTGCCTGTGATCTTGGGAACGTATGGACGAGGAGCAGGTGTGGTTGGTCTCAGCTTTTCGAATCACCCAGGCACCCTTTCTCTTCATATTTGCAGCCCACAGTTGCCACGTACAGCCCTCTGCATCATTCTTGCATATGACATGTAATTGTTTACTGTCAGAATATTTTACCTTCCACTCGAAATTGCGCCTCAAGGCCTCTTCGGTAAAGGCATCCTGCACAGCGTCCTTCGATGAGAACGGCATACCCACCTCCAAATTGGTCGTCGGATTATACACTGGCATAGGGACAAAGTCGGGGGCATCATTCTGACTGTGTGAAAATTGAGTTGGAACCTGTGTGTAGTATGGCGTCGGTGCCTCGCGAAATACCGCCTCGTCGTCGTTATCATCAGTATCTTCCTCCTCTCTCACTGATCTCAAATCTTCTTCAGTATCATCGTCGCTCGAGTCGAATGGATAGCTCGGCCCAGAAGGATCATCATGACCACCATCACCAACATCATATTCTCGCTCATGTTAAGTACGCCCTCCTCGAATGGTATTCTTGATTTCAGCCCACTCAGGCCCCCAAGCAGGCCATTGAACGCCATCGGCAAATTGATCCTGTTGCGAGTATTCTTCCGATGGCACCCATCCTGCACTACTACCTCCACCGTAGTTGATTGAACTACCACCCTCTCCGTAACCTCCTATATAACCACCTCCTTCATAGTTGCTCGAACTACCACCCCATCCGTACCCTCCTGCAAAACCATCATCATAAGAATACTGGTGAGAATGAGTTTCACCGACCGCCTCGGTCTCAACATACACCTATGCTTGCCGCAGCCCGTTATCGCTTAGGAACTGTAACATCATCGTAACCGCGTCATCATTGTTTATGACAAATTCTTGGTACACAAGCCTGCCAGTACTCATACATGGATACCGGTAACTAATTTTACCAAGTCTCGTCTGTCCGCTCATAGAAACCCTTTCTGCACAAATATCACGGAGTTCTTGAAAATTGAATCGCGACTCAATTTTCAGTTTAGTGGATACACCGTCCTCATAATCAATCCCTATGTCAGAGTTTGTAACCCTTGCATTCCACCGAATAATAAGCTGAAACTTCTTGAATTTACCCATATCTACAATTTACAATAAGTAACTATTAGCATAATTCCAGTAATTCATAACATCGCCATATTTGCTACGATAAGTAATTCATAACAATATAACTACTAAAAACAACCATTAGGAATTAATACAAAAATTAAACCATACCGTAAATTCTTGATCTGTGTATGTTGCTCGGTTTTGGTTGCTGAAATTTGAAAAGGGGGGTGTGGTTACGTTTTTACAACTGCTGGTGGTTTTGTATTTATAGAAAAATCGGCTAATGTTCACCGCCTTTGTCAAACGTGGTGAACATCATCACCGCGTTTGTCTCAAAGGGTGAACATTAGGTAGTTGTGACCTAATTTTCACCTACCAGGGTTGGGAAAGGTGGGAAATAATCACCGCCTTAGCCTGAGGCGGTGAAGATGTTCCCCGCTTTGCCCTAAAACGCTGACGTTTTCACCGCTTTTAACTTAAACGGTGACGTCTTCACCGTTTTCGTTAAATGCGGTGAACACTTCACCGCTTTATACAAAGACGGTGAACACGTCATCGTTTTATTTTAAAACGGTGAAATGTTCACCGTTTTTGACAAACGCGGTGATTATATTCACTGCGTTTGTCAAAAACGGTGAATGCCAAACATGTGTAGTTTTGGAAAATTTTTATAACTTATGTATTTTGAGAATTTTTTTAAGAACTAGAGTACTTTGGGATTTTTCCCCAAAATTTTCCTCTTCTTTTGATCTGGCTGAGTCGCGGACTAGGTCGCTCTCTTTAAGACGTTCGCGGCACTGCCTCGTAATGCGCACAACAGATTATCAGCCGGTCGCCTCCAGGATAAAACAGCCATTCTGATATGTTGCTCATCGGTTTTGTGCGAAAAACCGGAGCTCTATAAATTCACTCTCTCTCGTGTTTCTGCTCTTTTGAGGTGTGTTTAGAGGGTCTGGGGCGTCTCCTATTTATAGGAGCAGAAAACCCGGAATATTCCCTCTTTCTTTGGGAATAAGTCATATTTTAATTAGGGAGATAATTACTCCCATAATTAAAATATAATCTTTTAAGATAATTATTTCTAATTATCTCCATAATATTCCTTTTATTAATTATCCATCTTATTTAAGTATTATGGGAAAATACTGGATAATTAATTAGGAATTTCATTTATAGCTTTTCAAAGCTATTCATCCCAACAATCCCCCACTTGAATAGTTTTGAAACTATCTCTGAGCATCAACAGTTCCATAAGATCGGGCATAAGCTAAGGTATCGCGAAGATTTGAACCTTAGCGTAGTGGTTACACTTCCAATTTCATAAGGGTGACTCGTAGTCTTGAACCCTATCTCAGACAATGTAGCACACCTGATCTTTTCATTGAGTGATATTCTCTCATAGGCCGTGCGTTTATGGCCATGCACGTTATCCCGGTTTAGTGAACGCTCTAGCAACTTTGTGCCTCCAAAGTTCCATAGGGAGCGGCCCCACTCCCACATTCACATAGGTGAGTCTATCAGAAGTACCCCCAAAGTAAAGTACTTCACTCCACATAGAGTATAGATCTCATTAAGAGTTTAACTCAACCTCCAAGGCTTTGGGATTCATGCTTCACTATGCATGAACTTTTCGCATACTACTCATGACTTATTATTACCCATTGAACCCATTTCTTGGGATCTCCAGTCTATTGGGTCGGGTTACCATCACTTGTAGTCCGTGGTTTGGTAGGCATAAGTCTCATACCCTTGGCGGTACTTTGGACTTTCTCTCTAGATAATCCTTTCGTCAAAGGATCAGCTAGATTCTGTTAGGACCTTACAGGATCCACCCTCATTGCTCCTATTGTTAGGAGTTCTCTTACAGTACTGTGCTTACGATAAATTTGTCGTCTCTTTTCGTTCTAGAACCGGTTCCCTTCTTTAGTAATAGCTGCGGCTCTATCACAATGAATCAACTACAGGAGGGATCGGTCTTTCCCATAAGGGAATCTCTAGTAATGACCCTCTCAGTCAACTTTCCTCTTTACTAGCCATTGCTAGTTTCATCATTTCTGATTCTTTAGTTGATTGAGCCAGGATCGTTTACTTCTTAGACTTTGAAGACACAACTCTTCCAACGATGTTAAAACATGCCCACTGGACGCCTTGGAGTCCTCTATAGGGTATTCTTGTCCGCATCAATATACCTTACCAATACAACAAGAAACCGTTGATAACATATATCCAGGTCTATTGTTCTCTTAAGGCATCTCATGACCCCTTTCAATAGCACTTCAATGCTTCATACTAGGACAATCAGTAAACCTGTCAAGTGCCCCCACTATGTCGGGTCTCATGTTTATCAGCTGCCTCTCGCAGACTGTCGATGCTAGTATGTTCTTACTTTCTTACACCATATTTGGTGCTCTTAAAATTGTACTAGCATCTTCATACATTTAGGCAAGAGTATAACTTGTATTTCTTATAGATCTTAACCAAACAGTTAGATTGGTCTATAAAAAATTTCTTTCACTGTCCTAGTCATTTGGATCTCTAAGTGAAACACTTGGATCCTTCTCATCAAGGTTCTCACTCAACATGGTTTTTCACATTTATTCGTGTCTTGAGTCTTTGCAACAAAGAAACATGTCTTTTATAGTGCAAGGGTCGTCCTCAAGTTAGTAACAAATGTATTTGCCACTTTCATTCAAAACCATGAGAGAGAACCATCCATCCATGCCATGATTTTTAAAGTCTGTTTCAAATCATACCATGATTTGTCTCACCATAGACTTTAAAAGCATGTTCAGGAATAACAACCTTTTAGGTTGTCCCATTCTAGATTTACTTTACTTTATCTATATGGTTAATACAATTTAATATCCAAACCTTTCATTTTAAACAATATAATAGCCAAACCTTTCGAAAACAATCTAATATCCAAATCATCAACTTTCCGTTCGTTTGACCGTTAGTTGACACTTCAAGAAAGCTTTGTTTAGGGGAAATCGTCACAATACAACTTTATTTTCTTGTTTTGGCATTGCAGATGACTGAATATCTAGATATTCTATACTATCATGGTGGAGTCATGAACTTCTCGGGTTTGGAACTACGATATGTTGGTGGTTTTTCAGAGAAGATATCGATGGATATTGATGAAGTGTCGTACTTCGAACATTTTTGAAGTGTCAACTAACGGTCAAACAGACAGAAAGTTGACGATATGGATATTAGATTGTTTTCGAAAAAGTGTGGCTATAATATTGTTTAAAATGAAAGGTTTGGATATTAAATTGTATTTACCCTTACTTATATGTAATTGATAATTTTATTGAATATTTAAATTAACTAAAATTTAAATTTATATATTATATTAATATTGTCAATGATCACAATTATTAATTCTTCATTATTAATATTAACATTGTGTTGATTTTATATTTCATATTTAATTTTTTTAATTTTGTTAAAGAAATTAGTGTTCAAGTGACGTTCATGTTTAAATTTTTGTATTTTTCTTATAATACATAATATCGCGTGAGTTTTATATTTTTTAAATTCCTTATACGAAATGAAAAAAATAATTTTACCTAATTTTAGAATGAAAAAATTTATTTTGAAAAAATATGTATTGTATAATATAATAATTATTCAAGTGGATTAGGTGAAGTTCGGGTTGAGATGGTCGGGTTACGGGTTAGTCGGGTTCGGATCAATCGAGTTCGGGTTTAAGTTCGGGCCAACCGAGTTCGGGTCGGGCGGGTTACAGATTGTTGACTTTTAGTCAATTTGAGTTGCGGGCGGGTTACGAGCGGGTTAATCGGGTCGGGTTATGTTTTGACACCTATAAACTCCAGAGGAATTTTACAATGCTATATATTGGTGCTAAAGATTTTTGCCTTCATGGTACAATTTGAAATTGTACATTTAAAGTTATGGTACAACTTCAGATTGTACCTATAATTTTTGTACAAATTGTCTTATGGTACAACTTGAACTTGTACTTTTATGTCATGGTACAACTTCAAATTGTGAAGTTGTACCATAACATAATAATACAAATTCCTTTATGGTACAACCTGAACTTATACGGTTAGAATATGACTTGAATTTGATTTGGGTCATAAACTCCAAGCTTACAAAATTATTAGTTCAAAAACACACAAAGGACAGTACTCTACTCAACGTGACTACAGAACAGAGGTAACGAGAAAAAGGAAGATGCAGGGGACGGCACACAAATGCAAGCTCAAACGTATATACGCTTATGCAGCTTTGGTTTTGGAAGCAGCTTCCTCTGCAGCTGCACGGCGAGCTCGCACATAAGCAACATGCTTCTCCCTCGGCGGCAGGCATCCCGCCACCACTTCATTCCCTTGCAGCTTCTCCATCCATTCGAACAGAACAGGGTACTTCTCCTCCGTCATCAACTCTGCCTCTTTCACTTCTTGCAGCACTCGCAGGAACTGCAGGATGAAGAAGGACGCAATATCCACGAACCCGAATCTCTCCCCTCCGAAATACTCCTTCCCTTTCAATTCCTCCTCCAGAAACTTGAGCTGCTGGGAGAATTCCTCGATGGCGTCCTCTTGCTCTTTGCCCTTGTCATTGTAAGCCTTGAAGGCCGTCCACAAGACCTGAAAAAGCATTTTTTTTTTTTTTTTGCAATTGAAATACCGACCCTCTTCACATAACATTCTGCCTCACAATGGCAGAAGATGAAAATGGTGCTCAAAATCGTTAATTACCTTTTCGTCTATGAACTTGGCCCAGAAACGAGCTGCGGCTCTGCCATAGGGATCTTTGGGGAGAAGAGGGTTTTGGTGCTGCCATGTCTCGTCGATGTATTCCATGATGAGGAGGGACTCCGAAATCGGGTTCCCGTTGTGGATGAGGACGGGGATCTTCTTGTGAACTGGGTTGGACTGAAGGAGGAGCTGGCTCTTGTTGGAGAGGTCTTCTTCCAAGTATTGGAACTGCAGGCCTTTCAGTTTCAGGGCTAATTCGATTCTGTGGCTGAAGGGACTTGCCCATGTTCCCAGTAGCTTGATTTCTTTCGCCATTTTTTCGAGATGAGTGGGTTTTTACACTAGTTGTTTTCGTTATTTTGTTTGGTGTGGCGAGGTGGATGTCATATTTATACACACCTGCGGAAGAATCTTGGAGATTTGGACGGGATTCGTCATGGATGACTACATCTCAACAACACCATGTCATGGCTGACATCAGTTACAAGAATACTGAAGGGCATATCTCGGAGTTAGTGGGCACTATCTGGATTCTTCTCCCTAATTCTTGTAAACATTAGTAGTTTCCCTTTCCTAGAAAGCTCGACCTTTTTGACATTTCAATCTGTGGATTGTTAGTGAAGAAGTATTATATTTTAACTGTGAGTTATAACATAATATGTAGGTTGACTTATTTTTCAAAATATATATATATATATCCATATTGTGGTGGGTTTATGAGTTTTATAATATTATTATATTGTACGGTAGAAGAAAACAACTTTTGTAACTTCTTCACTAACAATCCAGAGATTGAAATGTCAAAAATTCTTATACAACGATGATATAGGTTTGTACCACCATAATTACTTGACCATGAGCAATGAAAGGTCCAAAATTTGATTACCCAATAAATACCAACATTGCTATTATTTTGCAATCACAAATAATATAATATTTCTGTGCAAAAATTCTAGAAATTTAAATTAGCATAGAGATACAAGAAAAGTAAAAAGATTTGAATATCATTAAATTTGACCCATTAGATGGATTCAAATATTAAGATTTTGAATATGCAAAATTTATACAGATCAAATTATTTTGATAAAGGTGAAAATTTATTAAACTCAACCAAATGTTCTTCCAAGAAAAACCTGGATCATCCTGAAACGAAAAAAAAAAAACAGACAAGAAGAGTAAAAACAGAGAGAAAAAAGAAGCAACAAGGACTACCCAGCAAATTACTCCTATTCTAAACAAAACCCAGGACAGAACTCCTACACCAACCGAAACACCTCAAGAGTTGAACCCCTTCGATTCATATAAAAACATCCACAAAAAATAGCAACCGAAGTCCTACAATGTGCACGTAGGCAGTCTGTCTTCAACTCATGTGGGCTGAAACTCATATCGACATCAGATCAAATTATACATGCACTTGAGCTGCTTAGGATACATGTCCATCTTATGCACAAAGCTATCCATAAATGCATCTGAGTTTTTGGATAAAATCTAAATCTAATGATACCAAGTGACAGCCTTCAACTATTATTCTTAATTGGATTTATTAAAACTGTTATTACTTTTTTGTTAAATATATAGAGAGAGTTATGAGGTCCTTCAACAACGAGGGGAGGTGGCGCAGTTGGTTAGCGCGTAGGTCTCATAGCTGAAGAGTGATCCTGAGGTCGAGAGTTCGAGCCTCTCTCGCCCCATTCATTTTTATTTTTTGCACTGCACTTTCTTATACAGAAATGACTAATGGACATTGAAGATAGCGGCTAGTTACAGTTATTTTGCACTGCACTTTGTTATACAGAAATGACCAATGGACATTGAAAATAGTTGTCAATTACAGGCGCACATTGCCACTGTGCACTTTCTACTTCAAAAATGACTAATGGACATTGAAGATAGTTGTAAGTTACAGGCGTACAATCGTTCATTGTCACCGTTCATATCATACAAATATTTTACATGGCAATAATCCATCGCACAGAAATGTAAAGAACATATGAATAAGAATATAACCTCTAATAAATTGTGGATGCAACGAAGATAGATTCGATACAAGTTAAAACCATCAAACTTTGTATTGCATCAGTACTGTATATAGCTATCTTACATCACTATCGTACACGATTTGTGGTAACTCCAATATAAGACTAGAATAATCTTAATATACAACACCTCTTACTGCCATGATAGAACTCGTAGTTAACACATGCAACACTATGATACAAGGGCAAAGTTGTGGCTATAAGAATGCATGTGGTCTGTTTTTTCTTCTAATAATCGATTCAACCTTGAATAAAAAGGATATACCACCTCATCCTTTCTGGTTAACATTAATCCACCCAAATATCATTTTGCTGACTTGATTCTGTATTTCATTTGCATAAACAAACTACGATAGTTCTTATATACCATAATGGAATTCACTACATCTTTTGAAATAAACTTTTTGTAATCGCCTTTTCTTGCTACAAGTTTTTACCTCTTCTTGGTGAGTGACTTTTACCAGAGAAGTAACGATAGAACCATTACCATGGTGGAAAGAGATGTTTGCCACAAATAGTACCAAGGGTGGGAAACTAAGGTCACTTGAGGCTGTCCAGTTAAGTGTCCCGTACTCTGATACACCGGGGGAAATAACATCAGCAGCCTGATCCTCCAACTCGTCGGAGTTGGTATGGCCGACGAAACGCCACAGGAAAATACAAGGGTGAATCATTATTTGGTACAATACTATACATCCCTTCTGGAGGAATAGCAGCACTACAGTTGGGGTCGATCTCGCTGGCAGAAATTCAGGGCCGACGTGAGATACGAGTTCACGGAAGATGTGACCGGCTGTCTATAGCCAAATGGGATGCTGTTGCCATTGCGGCAGCCTCCAGAAAGAGTTAGTTGTATGACATATATAGATAGCAGCAGCGGAAGAGGCTGGAGAAAACGAGTCTCAACTCTCGGCTCAACCAGCTTTCCTACTCGACAAACACACACTGACTGACATGTGAATCATAGAGAGCACCACAAATCAAAATCACCACTGAAAGGTAATCCTCCATTTCTAGGGTTCAACATTTAGCACAAAGTAACAAATAAAGGGCTGATTTGCAGGGTGCTGTCAGCCAACAAGTATTATTGAGCTTCAAACAACAAAAGCAAGCAGGAGTAGACAAACCAAAGTGTACGAATTGCAGGGTGACTGGCACGGATCCATCCCATTCGAGCGAGCAAACAACATTACATAAACAAAGCAGTCACATACAGACGATCTCTTTGCTAATTAGTTCGGAATCAAAACTTTTATGGAAAACCCTAATTGAAACTCAAACGAAAAGTCGATTTCGACAAATAGGGATAGCGAAAACCTAACAGGCGAGGAAGCTTGGGATGGGATGATCCATAAGATGCGAAGAGAGTATCAAAGATCAAACAGGGCTGAGGAGCTGGTAGAGCTGCGGCTTGGGATCGGAGTTCATGCCGATCACGATGATGAGAGGGATGAAGCCATAGTGAGCGATGACTTTGGCCTTGTGCAGGCTCCAATCCGTCCACTCCTTCAAGCACTCCGTCCTTGATTTCCCCTCGCCGCCTCGCCCTCCCTTGCCGCTGTTCTTCCCCTTGCCGCCAACCTTCAGAGCAACCCTAGACGCCATTCCTTCTGTCTTTCTGTTTCTTCGCTGATTGGCTTTCTGACGGAGTTCGGCCGAGTTTGGGCTTCTTACCGTCTGACTTTATACTCCATCGAAATCCAAATCTTCTACAGCTTGCTAATCGGCAATATGACGTTGCCAATTGGGCTTTCAGGGTTCACCTACTTGATGGGCCAGGCTCATATTTCCAATGGGCTCTCCAGGCATCTTATTGTTTGGGGTTGGGGGAGAGTTCAAGTAGTAGTTATATGGATTAATAGGTATACAAGCCCCTCAAATATGTTAAGATAACAAATAAGCCCTTGTACTATACTTCTAATGAAAGAACTAGGGATGGCAATGGGTCGGGTTTTGCCAAACCCAAATCCAAACCCATGGGTTTATCCGTGAAAAAACCCCGGGGTAAAATCCATTGGGTTTGAAAAACTCAAACCCAACCCAACCCGCTGGGTATCCGCGGGTTCATGGGTACCCACGGGTTTTTGTCGTAAAAAATTTACAATAATAAGTTCCTATAAAAATTAAAGCCAAATATCAATATCTCAATACAAATTATCCATATTTACAACATCATTCTAGAAAATTCAAGCAAATCACAAATTAACTATACAAATTGTTCAACACCAATCTAAAACTCAAGAAAATTGAAGAAAATCACAAATTATCCATAAATAACATGATTAATTGAAAGTTTCTTCCTTTCAATTAAGTTTCTTCACTCTCCATTAAATAACATCAACTTCATTCTACACAATTAGAAAGAAAAAATTATATATGTCTCCACAAACATAAATAAGATTAGGTGTTTAGAATATAAAATATATCGAGAAAATTAATTATATGGGTGTGGGCGGGTACCCATGGATCGGGTTTATCTAAACCCAAACCCAACCCGGTGAATAGTGAAAGGGTTTAAACCCAAACCCGGCCCAAAACCCGTCAACACGAATTTTACCCACGTTGACCGGGTTGGGTCGGGTGGGTACCCGTGGGTTCGGGTTTTGTTGCCATCCCTAGAAAGAACCCCTTTTATTATGATTTGATAACAAATAAGTCCTTATGTTAACATTTTTCGTCAATTAACATGAAATAGGGTCTGAAATGTCTAAATTGCCCCCAGTGTGATATGTGTTTAATAAAGTTGACTTAATTCAGCCTTTGCCTGTATGGACAATAAGGATAATTGCGATTCCGACGGCGAATCGACCTCCGGCGATGGCCAAAAGACAGAGGATGTCAAAGAGCTATTTGGATTTGCCGATGGATTGGATTATGCGTGGATGGAAATTGACTCCATGAGCGCTTTCTTCCACGAATTTTTGAACTTTAAGTTCTTAATCATCTATTTATCTAGGTTTTTTCTTTTGCAGTATGCTTGTCATTTTCTGGTTGTTTGTGCTGCAATCTGGGTACTCCCCAGCTCTTCCACTGATAAAGGTTAAAGAAGGAAGTCGTCGCCACCGCCCGCTGCACCGAATTTTCCTTTTTTATTTTGCCCTCTCTAATCATCTGGAAAACACCGGATTACCCGACTCTTCTCTAATCGTCTGCAGCATCAGCCTCCTCGGCCACAAATCAAAAACCTGCGCTTAAACTCCCCGCGAAGCTACAAATCCTTCGACATCTCCTCCAAACTCTTCCTCCTTCCTCCTCCGCCGCTCATCTGATCCGGTTCCATCTGCAGGGAGCAGCAAAAATCTGCGGCCTATGGCGAGGAAGAAATTTGAACTTCGAAAATGATCTCCGCTGCTCTGACCGGATCCCGGAACTGCCTCACCTCGCCGCCCGGAACAAAGAGCTTCTGCGCGCTGCTTTCCTAGCCAATACCTTCGGTGAATCGAGATCGATACCTTGCTGCCCACCTCTCCTTAGCGTTAATCTAACCCTCCATCCAATACTTGGAACCCTAACCAGCCACATCCTCGAGTTTGTATTTGGGGAGAAGTTGTATTTTGTTCAATTCAACACTTATATCGTCGTTCTATGGGGGTTGGGGAGTGGGAATTGGGTATAAAAATTATAAAGTCCTTTTTTAGTCAATTATATCTCTTATTAAAAGTCAATTTTATTAAACATATATCAAAATGGGGACAATATAGAAATTTCGTGTCCTATTTCAAGTTAGTTGACAGAGAAGGTTAACGGAAGGGCTTATCTGTTATCAAACCATAATTGAGGGGCTTCTTTCTTTAGAAGTATAGTACATGGGCTCATTTGTTAACTTGCCATAGTTGAGGGGCTTGTATGCCTATTAATCCTAGTTATATAATTAGGGAAGGCAATTTGAACCCATCCTATCGGGTTTTATCCGACCTAATTGTATGGGTCGAGTCATGGGTATCTACTTCCGTCGCACCTTGTCCCGCCCTGTTTTGGCCCATTTTATGTTTCAATTTCTTACAATATCCATTTATTTTTCTCCTATTTTGACTTTTCTGCATATAAAAATTTTTGGTGGGGTGGGTTTGGGTATGGGGTTGTGGAGTTCAAAATCATACCCGCAGGTTTTACTCATACCCAGTCAACGCGGGGGGATACCCACTCCATACCTATTCAATTTTTTGCGGGCTTTACCATACCCATTCAAAACGTGGATTCCCCGCATTGACTGGATCGGAGGTGGTCGGATACTCGCGGCCATGAGTTTGGCCGTCATCCCAGCATGTGATCTAACAACTGTGAAATATATAATTCTACTGTTTAGTAATTTTTAAGGGCAAATACAATATATTAGCCATAACTATTAAGCAACGGGGAATTATAGCCACAACTATCGAAATACAAATTATTAGCCATTCGTTAAGTTTTCGTTAACACTTTTGTTAGTAATGATGACTAAGCTTTTACGATACCGAGCTGGCTCCCACATGGCAGTCATCATATCATATTTTTTACGATGCTGACATGGCCTTCTACGTTAAAAATTTGAAAACAGTAATGGGCTGTTAGCCAAATCTTGACCCACAACTATAGTTATGGCTAATAATTTGTATTTCGATAGTTGTGGCTATAATTATCCGCTACTTAATAGTTATGGCTAATATATTGTATTTACCCATTTTTTAATACTTATACATTGTAATGAGTCGTTTTTAAATTATGCTCGACCGACGGCTTATGGTGTTATCGTCGTGTTGTGGTCGTTAATAATTATGAATAATTATGTGACAGGACAAACTTATATAGTCGTTTATGCTACTTCAATTGAAGTTGAGAAGTGAAAGCTCCTAAATTAGCCTTGGATATTGGATCTGAGTGTTTTGTTCTCTCGGATTGACAAACTATTATTCGTAAGCTTTGAGAGGCTCAATGTCAGAACGAGCTGAATTGCTAGTTTTTCAGTTAAATCTTCATTTACGGATCGTGGCAGAACAAAAAATCTAAACGAAAAGACCTAAAAATTATTGGAAAACATCTTAATATACACCTGTTCTTATAAAAAATTTCAAAATACATAAGTTATAAAATATTCTCAAAGTACACATGTTTTTCCATCACCGTCGTGGTCAAAGGCAGTGAAAATAATCACCGCCGAAGACAATAACGGTGGATGCATCACCGCTTAAAAAAAAACGGTGAATGCATCACCGCTTTTAAAAAAAATGGTGAATGCATTACCGCTTAAAAAAAACGGTGAATGCATCACCGCTTTGAATGACAACGGCGAACCAATCATCGCGGTAAATTCAAATAGTGAATACATCACCGCGTTGGACGACAACGGTGATTGTATCACTGCAGTTGAGGAAAGCGGTGATATTTTACCACGTTTTTCAAGTCTAGGTAGGTGAAAATTAGATCACAGCGGCCTAACATTTAACGCATTATACTACTGCGGTGAATGTATTCTCCGTGTTGGTCTCCAGCGGTGATTGTTGATCTAGTTTTCATATAAATAATCCAATCCCTCACCTAGTTGCCTAAAAAATCTGCCCCATTCCACTCAAATTTTTGCAAAAATTCCCCTTCTCAGCCTACTTCCATCAACTACGGTTACAGAAACTCAAAATTTTTGGTATGATATAATTCTGTATTGTTTAGATTTTGATGTGTCAATAATTAGATATATGTATTTAATGAATTGCTGATAGTGTCAGTTTTTTTTCCCGAGAAATGCCAAGAGAATAGTTAGAAAAAACCCTACCCACAATCCCTTCCTATCTCACTAGCTAGCCACCCAACAAAATCAAAAGAAGCTAAATCTAACCGGGACAACAACATGGCTTTGCGTGTCACTCTATGAGCAGCCCAGTTGGTTGTCCGCGGAACAGCTCTACAGTCTATACAATGAGAAAAAGACTGAAGAAGAAAATGACAATCTCTAAGCAGCGGACCACCAGACGAATCCTCCACCACACCGAGCTTGAGCTGACGGATGACCACTTCTGCATCTCCTTCAAAGATGACACGAGCCAAACTTCTAGAAATTGCAAGCGAGATTGCCTCCCTATCTGCAAGGAGTTCTGCTATGTACGGGTCAGAAATACCCTGATGCTGAACACCGACGGCGAGTTGCACATGCCCGTCCGAGCCACGAACCACAAGGCCAGACGAGCAACCAAAGTCTTGAACGGCAGCATCAAAGTTGATCTTCAAAAGGTCAGGGGGCGGGGGTAGCCCACAAAAGGAAACAGTCGCAGGCACGCGGGGAGGGGAAGACGGGCCAGGAGTCGAGGAAGAGAGCACTTAACGGATCTGAAAAGAGTATTGGCGGGCAAGTGAACGGACATTAGGTTGGGTATTTTCAAATACCACTGAATTTCTAGATTTCCATATTCTCCATAAGAGGCATACTACCTGGAGAATATGGGTTTGGGAATGCCGACCTAGCAAAAATTGCCGCCACCAGATACTGAAATTTATAATTGGGGCGGGCGTACATCGTCTAATCCCACAAAAGACCATAACTGGATGGCAAGGAGGCATGTAAAGAACAAATGTTCTAAATTTTCTCGAAATCTCCAACAAACAGGACAACGTCTCAGGCAATTAACTCCACGAGACCTTAGTGCCACTATTGTCGGAAGGACCACTCTAAGACACTGCCAGATGAAAAACCTTAGCTTGGGAGGAGTCTGGATGATCCAAGTCTTCTTCCATATTGGGGGATCAATGATTTGGACAAGCGATTTCCTCATTGGAGCCAGAATTCCTTCTAATGCCAAGTGGTATCCTGTTTTAACTGAATACTTACCATTCTTGGTAAAGTGCATACCCTAGTGTCTGGTTGGGGAGTCCGAGGCAGGGCCATCTTGCAAATAGAATCAACAGATTGTGAGTGAAAACAATATTGAAGCCGTAGAACATGCCATTCCCCTGTACCCTCTCTAATAAAATAAGAGACACGCGTGGTAGAGTTAATATTGCCCAACCGGATCACCGGGCTTTCTGGTTTAGTCGTTGAGATCCAGTTATCATAAAATGCATCAATGGTGTGGCCATCACCCACTTGCCAACGCAACCCTTGTAGAAGAAGGTCTCTGCCATAGAGGAGGCTACGCCAGCCCCATGATGGATTGGACCCTAGATTAGCATCCAGGATTGAGTGAGAGTTGAAATATCGCCCTTTATAGACTTTACTAAGTAAGGAGTCCGGATCGGTCCAAATACGCCAACATTGTTTTGCCAACAAAGCTTGGTTGAAGGCTTGGAAGTCCCTGAAACCCAGTCCACCATGAAATTTGCTTTGCGAAATCCCTTTCCACGAGACCCAATGAATGGGATGATCGAGATTACTAGAGGACCCCCACCAGAATCTGGCTATATGTCCATTCAAACGACTACAAGTCTCCTTGGGAAATTTAAAACATGACATACCATCGACAGGGAGATTTGTAGCCACTGATCTTATGAGAGTATCCTTGGAAGCTTTTGACAAGTATCTTTGTTTCCAACCATCAAGCTTCTGCCTGAGCTTCTCTTCTATGTATAGAAACGTGTCTCTCTTCGATCGAGATAGGATGCAAGGGAGTCCAAGATAGGAATCTTGTTCACCAATACTACCAACCCCTAGTTGTGTACCCAATGACATTGCCATTTCAGGGGAAGTATTACGACTGAATAGGACCGCAGACTTAGCTAGATTAACTCGTTGACCACTCAGTTGTTCATACACTTGTAGAAGTGAGAGTAATGTTGTACATGAAGCGTAAGAGGCTTCAAGGAACAGAAAAGAATCGTCTGCAAAAAAGAGATGAGAGATCACCGGGCACGAGGGGCGGATTCGTACCCCTTCCAAGAACCCCATAGACACCGCCTGACTTATCAATCCCGAAAAACCTTCCGAACATATTGCAAAAAGTAGGGGGGAGAGCGGGTCACCTTGTCGAAGACCTCTAGTGGGTCTAAAGAATTCACTTGGGTTACCATTTACAATGATAGAGTAGGAGACCGTAGTAACACATTCCTCTATCCAGGACATGAACTTGGGATGGAACCCTAGCACCTTCATCATTTCAAATAGAAATGGCCATTCTATGCGGTCATATGCCTTCTCCATATCCAATTTTAAGGCCATCCATATCTTTTGTCCCGAATACATGGTCTTTAAATGATGTGTAACCTCATGACTGATAAGGATATTATCAGTGATCTGACGAACCTTGATAAAGCCATTTTTCAACCCAGAGATAAGATGGGGGAGGACCAGGCTAAGCTTATTAGCCAAAATTTTAGAGATTATTTTGTAGAATACTTGGCATAGGCTTATAGGTCGTAAGTTCTTCATAGTTCGAACTTCCGCACCTTTTGGAACCAGGGAGATCCAAGTGCGATTAAAACTTCTCAATAGATGCCCAGAGTGAAAGAAAGCAAGCACTGCTTGAATGACATCTGGGCCAACTATATCCCAATATACTTGGAAGAACCCAGCAGTGAAACCATCCGGCCCTGGAGCTTGAGTTTTTCCCATACTAAAGACCACCTGTCTAATCTCTTCAGGCGTAACTGGGGCAATAAAAACCCAAGTTTTGTGCATCATTAATCATTCCGGATAGAGGCAAGCTGGATAAGCTAATCCCTTCCATGATTTCGCTTTGGAACAGGGTCTTATAGTAATTAATCGCAATGGAGCATTTCTCCACTTCCGTCATGCACCACCTTCCTGCGTCATCCTCCAATCCCCAGATAAATTTTTTTTGCTGTCTTATAGAGGTGATGCGATGGAAATACCCGAAATTCTGATCACCTTCCTTTAACCAGTTATTACTGGACTTTTGCCGCCAGTACATTTCCTCTCGAGCATATTGTACTCCTAGCCAGACCTCAAGCTCTCGAATTATGACCCAGTCGACCGCTTGACAATTTCGAGCAACATCAAGTGCATGCTTTAGATCATTTATAATTCGGGCCGAGTTTGATGTACCACCTCTACATCAGTCAACAAGCCCATGCCGAGTTCTAAGGAGCTTAGAAAATAGACAGAATTGTAATGATCCATCAACATGTAGGCCCCAAAAAAACTTATTAACAATCTCGCTTCAGGGTTGAGGGACCTGCGTCAGTTTAGATTTGTTAGAGATATTTAGATCAATTATGTTATTTTCGTAGCTCTAATTATACTATACTAATTTTATTCCGCTCAAACTAATAGTTATTTATTATAAATTGCAGACATGTGTAAATTCAAGAAGTTTCGTCTTCTTGTTCGATGGAATGGTCGGGTGGCAAACTCTGACATTGGTATCAATTATGAAGACGGTGAATCCACAATGTTGAAAATTGAGTAGAGATTCACGTGGCAAGAACTTTGTAACATTTGTGCAGACAGGATTTGTATGGGCGGACAGAAGATACCTGGAAAAATTACTTACTCATATACAAACATGAGTACTGGCGGGGTTATGTTCAAGAAGTTGTCATAAAATGATGATGACGCGGTTACCATGATGTAACAGTTCCTAGCTGACAACAAGATGCAACTTGCAGAGGTCTATGTTGAGACCTAGGTGGTCGGTAAAAATCATTCTCGCCAGTATTCGTATAATGATGGTTTTGCAGGCTGGTACAGATGGGATGGTAGTTCAAACAACTACGGAGGAGGTAGTTCTGCAGGAGGGGTGTCATGGGAAGAATACCTGCAACGTGCGGAGCTGCCCCATTTGTTGAGCCTGAGGGCGATCAATGGCCTGCTTGGGGCCCAGAGTGGGCTGACATTGAGAACACCATTCGATCTGTGCGTACTTCGCATGAGCAAGAAGATGATGTTGGTGATACAGGTCATGAAAATCCTCATGGCCCGAGCTATCCATTCGTCGCCAGCGATAGTGAAAGTGAGGAAGATTTGAGACCAGTCAGTGAGGAGGATGATACAGGCGATATCGACGACAATGATGTGGCGTTCCGTGAGCCACCAACGCCATACTACACAAAGGTTCCATCTCAATTTTTATATAGTCAGAACGATGCCCATGACTTTCACCCTATGCCAGTGTATAATTCGACGGCCAATTTGGAGGTGGATATAGTGTTCACTTTGAAAGACACTGTTCAAGATACTTTTAGCGAACAAGCCATGAGGCGCAATTTCGAGTGAAAGGTAAAATATTTTGACGACAAACAACTAAATGTCATATGCATGAATGTTGGAGAGTGGTATGTGGCAAATGAGTCCATCGCACCAAGCATTCTTCCACGATAGGAAACCGCGCCAACTTTAGCTGAATAGCAACATCGATGACGACAAACAACGATGACCGAGTATCTCGGCCGGCTGGCTGAATAGCAACATCGCCATCATCTGACACTGGCGGAACCTCGACTGGCGCAGAAGGTGGCACACCCCGTTATGGTCGTAACAAAGTAACATGGAAAACATGGTGGATCTTCACTCCTTCCGGGAACTGCAAGCGATAGGAAACCGCGCCAAATTTAGCGGCAATGGGATACGGGCCGAAGTAACGGGCAGCTAGCTTTTCGGAAGCTCGCCGAAACACGGAGTGCTGGCAATATGGCTGGAGACGGAGAAGAACCAAGTCGTCCACATCAAACTGCAAATCCCGCCGCTTCAAATCAACTCATTGCTTCATGTATTCCTTTGCAGCTGCGAGAGTCTTTTTGAGTTCACGTAGCACGGCGTCGCGCTCGCCCAACAATTGGTCCACAACCGCCACTGAACTAGAAGCACTTGCATATGGAATAATACTAGGCGGGTCTCGCCCATACAAAGCTTTGAACGGAGTCATGTCAATAATTCGATGAAAGGAAGTATTATACCAGAGCTCCGCCCAGGGCAGGAACATTTGCCAACGTCGCGGTTGCTGGTGTGCAAAGCACCGTAGATACTGTTCAACACAACGATTAACAACCTCCATCTGACCATCTGACTGTGGATGGTAAGCAGAGCTCATGTTGATCTTAGTCCCCGTACGACTAAAGAACTCCTTCCAGAACAGGCTAACAAAGACGGCGTCCCGGTCGCTGACGATAGAGGACGGAATCCCATGATGACGCACCACCCCTTCGATGAACTCATCGACGACCTTAAGAGATGTATACAGATGAGCTAAGGACATAAAATGGGAATATTTAGTCAGCCTGCCAACCACCACGAACAATATCGAACGCCCTCCCGATACCGGTAATCCTTCAACGAAGTCCATCGATATGTCTTCCCAAACCTGACATGGGATCGGAAGTGGATGTAGAAGGCCAGCCGGTGATAACGAGTCTGACTTCACCCACTGACAAACATCGCATGAGACAACATAATCTCGTACAGCCTTGCTCATCTGCGGCCAATAAAAATGGCCCGATAATCTCGCTACGTCCTCTGCGCCCGAGTGACCACCCATGGACGTATCGTGGAACTCATGAATCACCATAGTCACCAAGTTGGTAAGCGGGGGAAGAACCACCTGAACCTTATAGAAAACCAAGCCTTGATGATATGTGTAGTTCCCGGGTTCCACTGACAAGGCCTTGTCCCGGACTTCGCGGAGATAGGGTTTGGTTTCCAGTGTCGCACGTAGCTCGTCCCATAATGAAGTGAACGGCTGGGAAATGGCATCCAGCTGCGGTCCTCCTGCATGCTGAGAAAGAGCATTTGCCGCCCGATTTCTCGGCCCAGCCTTGTAATATATCTCATAGTCAAACCCCATTAGTTTGCTTATCCATTTGTGCTGGTCCGGAGTTACGATGCGATGTTCCAATAGGTACTTTAGGCTTCTCTGATCGGTATAAATATGGAATTTATGGCCAAGTTAGTACGGCCGCCACATCTCAACTGCGGTGGTGATGGCCAACATTTCTTTCTGATAAGTGGACCAAGCTGCTTTAGCTGGGCCGAGCACCTTACTCATGTAGGCAATTAGGCGCCCTTGCTGCGAGAGAACTGCACCAATTCCTTTTCCTGACGCGCCGACTTCGATGACAAAAGGAAGCTGAAAGTTTGGCATGGCCAGGGTCGGTGTTGTCACCATTGCGCGCTTGAGCTCTATAAAGGCCTGCTCGGCCGCCTCACTCCACGGATACCCTCATTTCTTGAGCAAATCAGTTAATGGCCTGGTGATGGCTCCATAATTACGGACAAACTTCCGGAAGTAGCCCGTCAATCCGAGAAATCCCCTGAGCTCCGTCGCATTCTTTGGCCTTGGCCATTCTGACATGGCTCGAATCTTGCACGGATCCTCCTTAACCCCTACACCAGAGATAATATGCTCCAAGTATTCTATTTCTTGCAATCCAAACGCGCATTTAGAGAATTTGATATAATAGCGATTGTGACGAAGCTTCTCAAGGGTGTGCCGCACATGAATGAGATGGTCAGCCCATGTTGTGCTATAAATAAGTATATCATCGAAGAAAACCAGGATGTACCGTCGTAGGCCTTCTCAGAACAAATCGTTCATTTCTGCCTGAAATGTTGCGGGCGTGTTACATAAACCGAATGGCATCACCAAATATTCGTAATGCCCATTATGAGTACGAAATGTTGTCTTGGGCACATCCCCTTTAGCCATTCGAATATGATGATAACCTGCCCGTAGATCCAACCTAGTGAAGTACTTTGCCCCGTGTAATTCATCGAGCATGTCATCGACTGTGGGAATGGGGTAGCGGTCCTTGATAGTGGCGTTATTCAGGGCGCGATAATCCCTACAAAAATGCCATGTACCGTCTTTCTTTTTAACCAAGAGTACCGGAGACGAGAATGGGGAGGAGCTCGGCCGAATTACACCAACGTCCAAAAGGGACTCGGTTCGTTTGCCGGACGCTAGCGCCTGCACGCGAGTCTCGCGGGCATGTTGGTACAGTTCTTGGATCGCGGCTCGGTCTAGGACCATGGCTCTGATACCAATTGATGAACTCGTAGCTCACGAGTGGGAGTTGTTCTGCTAGGCGCAGAGATCCTTTAGAGTTTGATTTGGGTAAAAGTTTCCTTTCGTAATGATATTAGGGTCTTAAATAGTGTTTACAAGCCAACAGCCTTCTCCTACTATGAATACATAAATAGCAATTAACATAACACTCAAACATACTTCAGGTTTGGTATTGATACCCTAGTGGATCGACGAGGTGGGTCTTCGTCGTGCATGGGCCTAGCCTCATCATGTGGGCTGCAAATATGAAGAGAAAGAGTGTATGGGTCATTCAAAAGCAGAGAACAACCACAGTTGCTTCTCGTCCATACTTTCCCATGATCACCGCCAACTTAAAGCAAAGAAACTGGGGAGAACCATTAATCACTTGATCGAGGCACAAACAGATATCAAGATCAAAGCTATCATGGTCGAGGTGAAGGATCGACATTCCTACACGATCAGATACAAGAAGGCATGGCATGGAAAGCAGAAGGTCATGGCTGAGGTGTATGGTGATTGAGATGATTCGCATGCTTTACTCCCCATAAAAATGGCCACAACGGAGCAGTCCAACCCTGGGACTGTTTTTGTGTCGTGGTACAACAATGTGCAAACTGAAAGATCAAGTTAGAGTACAAAATGAGATGATGTTTCACTGTCTATTTTGGAGAGGGAGGATCCGGTGACTAGGGGGGGTGTTTAGTCACTTGACTAAGCCCCTCATAGCCCTTAGATATGGACATAGCAACCCGACGATTAAAAAGTGGGAAGAGCTATTTAATTAATGATAAGGGTAGTTTGGGTATTATGGAAAATTATGAAATATACAAACCGGATTTATAATCAGTACACTTAAAACGATAAGGGTGACTAAAAACACTTAAAACGACTTCACCTTCTTGAAGGCGAATTACTTCTTAAAAAGAACTTGCTCCTTACTCTTTAATAATAACTCCTAAATGTAAAGCTTTAAAGTAAATAACAACTCATACATATTCACTCCAAACATAGCTCAAACAAAGCACAATCAAGCAATAACAATCACTTCATCAAATACTTAAAGCTCGTCAAACTTAAAAGAGTACGTAAGGCTTAGAATTTACCCCCTTTACACTCACCTCTAATCCGTCTAAACTAACTCTGAATCTGCTCCATAATTTCCATACTTGATCTAATTAAATTCTCCACGTTCTCACGATTCCATAGGCGCTGACGATTCCTTGTTCGGACGTCAATTGATCGAGTTATGACCAAAATAAATATTCTATCAGCTTAAAAGTTCCAGGTACCGAAATTGCAATTTTTCCAGTCAACATAGTTGACTCAGACTTCTGAGGAAAATTATGATTGTGGTCCCTAAACTTTTCGAATTGTCACAAACAATACCTGAATTTGTCCGACTTTCACTCCAACCTTTCGATGCTCATTTCTCCATCCTCTGATGTCGAAACTCAATTCCGTCAAGACCGTGATGCTCCAGGGATCGTCCTCTTCGCGATGATAACCACCACTCAAAGAAAATTGGAATTCGCCTACGCAGGGATCGTTGTCGGAACTGCTTGTCTTCTCCCATCATCATTGTGGAGGTGAAGTTTACACTTTGCAGGCTTGGTGAGATCGACATCTTTGCCTTTCCTCCGGTTACGCCGCCGATCAATCGCCAATATCCTATCTCGCCTCGCCTGCCTCACCTGCTTGCTTGTCCATCTCATAGTTTAACCCATCTCCACGAGAATCGTTCGTACCATCATGGAGGTGGAAGCTTTCGCACTGACCGCCGAAGACTTGAAGTTCCTGGCCTCTTAGTTCCGTCGCCTGCACAGCAAGCAGCTTCGCCACACGTTCAGGTTTTACTCGCAACACTGGAGGACGTGGGCCGCCTGCTTCATCCAAGCGGCTTGGCGAAGGTACCGCAAGAAGAAGCTCGAAGAGGCGCTGAGGACGTGGGCAGGAAGAGGACAATGAGGACGGTGGTAGCTTTAGGTTTTAGCTTAGGGTTTTTTTTCATTTAGTGAATGTGGACGGGTTTTTGGCATGGGGGTGATGGGAAAAATACCATGAGGGCCGAGCGCCCTCTTGGCCAGGTCCCTTTTTATAATAAAAATATAATAATAATAATAATAATAATAATAATAATTATTATTATTCCTAATCTGCGGTTGCAATCCTTAGTACGTAACCGTTAATCCAACCGTTCACGTATTATGGTCAAACCTGAACCCAAAGGTTGGGGTGTAACATTTCCTCCACCCTTATAAAATTTTCGTCCCCGAAATTTGCTTGAATCTCATTCCTCTGTCAACACCATTCGTGTACTTCCTTGCCTCAAAAATTTACTCTCGCTATATGAACCTTGATGATGTGCGCTGCTTGTCCCGTATAGTTTACCTCACCTCAAGTTATCTCCTCTTGACCATAAAAGGTATTCTCAACAAGCTCATTAGCATCGAGTAGCTTCGAGTGGCTACTTGTCCCTTTTTAATTCCCCCATCTGGTGATGGATCAAAATTATTGATTCCCTTTACTGGTCCAGCTCATTCAGCACTCGTTGTTGGCTCTTAAATCGGAGTCGAAGTATCACATTTCCTCCCCACTTATAGAAATTTCGCCCTCGAAATTTGTCCACTGTGATTAACCTAAGCATCGCTTGTGGTAATCCTTTTCACTTGGAGGATTTGTATTTCCTTTAACTTAATACGACATGACCTAAAATCCTTCTCTCCATTCACTGCAACTTCAATGTGGTTGTGGCTTCTTAACCCCTCAAATTACCTAGGTTGCACCTTGTACATATATCGGAACGATAACCATCCATTATTTCGTATACGAGACGTTAATGCTCCTCTTGAGCCCTAGGGTTACATATGACAGCTTATCCTCTATCCCATCAGATGGTAACATTCCTTTAACGTAACTCTCGTCCGGAGTTGACCTATAGGTCACCTAGGTCCTTGTATCTCCTAACTCTGCATCTCTTACTTTCTTCCTCAATGCCTAGTCTTATCCCTTAACCATAAACTGAATGGTCACCGCCTCGTTACTTGCTGCTTAGTGTTGGAACCTCATACTGCTGTTTCTACTTCCTGTATGCATTAGAGGCATCCTTTGCGTCTTTCTCTAGCTTGCGATCAACCTTAAGAATCCTTTCCAGAATTATGACCTTCCATTTTGCGTACTTGCTCACTCCTGGCACCTAACTTAACACTTCCTTATCATTGTTTGACTTGGGAGTTCTCGTACTATCCCTTCTATCGTTCTTAGGTCTTGGCTGAAATTCCTCGTACAGTTTCCCAGTCCAAGAAATTTACACCCGAGAGATTGACACCTTTCACCTACATAGGCAATCTTGGTTTCACTTTGGGGTATTCTAGCAGGTTCCCTAAACTTATATCCCTCTTACTTCGTTACTCGTGACTCTTCTTCTTGATATTACTTGCTAGTTCTAGATGATGTCCCTCGTTCTTGATGTAGTCATCTTGGTGCCCATATTCTCTTCTCACTTATGTACCTTGACCGATAAGGTTTTCCCTTCGACCGTTCTGGACCACCACACTTCTACTTTAAAGTTGCCCATTGAGCTTCTCCGTTCTTGCTGGGCTTCTTATGGTCCAACTTATTCTCCAATGGCAATCGCCTTAACACCTCCTTGTTGACCTTCGTATTCTTTTGCCGGCTCTTCCTAACTATCTTTCTCCCTGAATTTGTCGTTTTATCAACTACCACCCTTTTCACCATAACCTTCATTATAGCCTTGTGGTTTCCTCCTTACTTCCACAACTCCTTCATTGATGCTCGGTACTAGCTTTGATCTACTCAGTTTAGTAGCCCCTCGCCATACCTCCGAGCCAACCTTTCCACTAGAAACTTTCTCTAGGTAGCCTTGCCAGATGAAACCCACGACTTCTACTCACGATGGTGCTTGACCACGTCCCAACTATCTTCCTTCACACATTCATTGTCCGGTCGACAACCACCCTTTTTATTTTATTTCCTATAGCGTTCTATGGTGCTCTCCTTGCTTCTTTACTTTTACTACCCTTTTGTTGATACTTTGTACTATTTCCGGTCACCAAACTCTGTTGAGTATCTTCTCGTTGTTGTT